GATGCATTGTGGGATATGTCGTTTATGGGCAACGTGCTTCTGTAAAGTAGCATGTAACCGTATAATAAACATATTATATTCTTTGCAAGCTCTTGTGGGGCCACATAAAATGAAGTCGCGGGCCGGATTTGGCCCCCTGGGCCTTGAGTTTGAAACCCCTGCTTTAGTAGGACACACAAAATGCAAAGCATTACATCACATAAACTACATTAACACAAAGTGTATGATAGGGTTATCACAAGCTATATATTTTAGTGTAAATTATGGTAGCCATGGAAAATGTATCAAATCATATTAGATCAAACATTGGAAAGTCTATCATCTGAATGAGGGTTTCGTTCAGACTTATTTTGAGCTCCATGTTTCTGGTTTGTGTTTCGTTCAGTATGACTTTGAGCTGGTCCCTTTCTGTCTACAAGTTTAGTTTTTCCAACTTAATAAAAATATCTGGAGGGAGCACAAACACAAGAAAAAGCTGATTATCAATGTAAAACCACACACATTTGAAGCAATGTTTGTCAAGTCAAATCCACTCCCGTTTTCCATTAGCCTGTCCGGTGATGAAAAAAAGATTGATTCTACTTTTGTATTGACATCAGCTTTGATTAGGGATGCATCAGCATCGGCAGATGTTGTTCCCTATGCCCTTTGTTCTCTAATTAGCAGATCGACAAATGAAATGACGTGCACCAATGTCTGTGTCTGTGTTGCTTTGCCGTGTGACTTTGTACTCTTAACGTCTCCATAGCTGCATATTTGTATTTATTAAAGTAGGACAAATCTGAAGGCCGTTTGTCATTTTGAAGAACTACTACAACACTGACTTAGGGGGATATACCCTAACTTTGAAGTAATGAGATTGCATAGCAGGCTGAATAAGCTTTTGTAAAGTTGACATATAGTGCTCATTCAAAGTTGCTGTGATGAATTGCTTAGAGACCACATATTTAGACATAATACACATCAATGTGTTCCCCTGGAATAAAAGGGAATAAATAATATGAATTAATAAATAGCTGCATTGGCCAAATTGTTGTTCTTGACATTGGTATTGGTTGAGAAATGTGCTATCCTCTAACTTTTTTAATGTATTTTTTGTTGAAATAAATAATGACATGATTCTCCCTTTCTACCAAAATGCGCTATCCTCCCACCTGTGCATTTTGCACTCTTTGGGACACGTAAACACCAAGCAGGTTAACAAGCTCAGAAAATCGCCAGACTGCCAGGGAACAAAGTACATTCAAATATCTTGTTAAAGAATATAAAGCAGAGCCTCACAGCGCATGTAGATCCCAGCCAATATCAGAAGATACAGCACTCCCAGAATCACTGGAGTTTTTTCAAACGGACTTCTCTTGACAGCTGAAGGATTGTTTTAAATGGGGAAAATTCAGAAAAACATTGTCAAAAGCATGTTAAAAGAAGCCTAAAAAGCTTCATAACGTTATATTCCATTATACCTTAAATTGTCATTGTCAATTGCTCTACGTTGTAAACTACTCTATGTTGAACTTATGATGTATCAGATAAGCAAGCAGCTGGTTGTTTGTATCTTGTTCCTTGCTGGGTAACTGTTTTCCATTAGTCCGCCTGCCTGGTGATAAAAAAGATTGATTCTACTTATGTAGACATCAACTTGGACTAGGGATGCCTCAGGCCTGCATCAGCACAGGCCGATGTTAGCCTTTATCTCCCTAATTGGCACATCGTCAAATGAAATGGCGTGCACCGATGGAAGCAGCCGATGTTCATCTGTTTGTCTTTGCCGTATGACTCTGTACAGTTGGCAGAAGTTTTATTTTTTAATACAGACAGACAATATGGAAATATTATGGCCCATTCTGTCCACCCTAAAACATTACTGTTGTGGTTAACTCTTGCCTGTCTCATATCGTCATTGTTTTTAGAAAAAAAAGCATACGATGCAAATCTGCTTTGCATTAAAAACATGATGCTCTCTGTATATTGTCTTTATTATGCTTTAAGGCCCTGACACACCTACCCGATTTTGGGAGTCAGAGGCCGTCAGAGGCAGTCGGGCATTCGCGGCGCGCTACTCAGGTTGGTGTGTCCCGCACCGTCGTTGCTTTACGACACATTTTCCGCGGCCGATTCAACATGTTGAAATGTGTCGGAAAGTCGGCCAAAGGAATCACTCTGATAGGCTGTTGCCTCTTTTGAATGACGAATACACACTACCGCTGCCTGCTGGTAAGGACAGTTATTGCCACTCGCCTTCGGTATGCGTGCTTTGGTCTCAGGTTGGTGTGTAGCGGCCTCTAAACGTTATGTCAGGATCTCTTGGCGTCCCTGTCAAACGCAGGGACGTTTGGAAAACCATTCCAGGTGACGACCTCATGAAGCTGACTGAGAGAAGCCAAGAGTGTGCAAAGCTGTCATCAAGGCAAAAGGGGGGTACTTTGAATAATCTAAGATATATATGTTTATACTGTATACAGTGTATACTGTATAAACTATGTCATAGCTAACCACACTCCTCCATAATTTAAGGGGTTTATTTTAAAAGAAATGATTCCGGAGATCATACCCCTGACACACCATGCAATCCAACATGAGTTAGAGGGACATCCACAAAAAGACAATGATTATTTATAGTTTTGATTTTTCATAATTTCTCACTTACCACCTGTTGTGACTGATGATCAGGGTGATCCTCTCCAACAGCGTCTGCACTCTCGTAGATATCCACCTCCCTTTCCTCCCACTGTCCATTGTCCCCCTGCAACTTTCTGGTGAATATCACCTTCTTTGATAAATCAGGTTTGGCATAAATATCTGACATCCTGAGACTGGATTTGATGCACTTTTCTTACTGTGCTGTTTTAGATCGCTTACTATGCTGCCTGAATGTGTATGCAGTACTAACTATGGTATATATACACTAATTGACGTAGTATACCGTACTGGTGCTGCTGCTGCCAGTTTAATTATTCTTGCATCAGCAAAGAACAAAAAGGAAGTTCTGCCTGGCACTCTCTCTCTCTCTCTCTCTCTCTCTCTCTCACACACACACACACACACACACACACACACACACACACACACACACACACACACACACACACACACACACACACACACACACACACTCAAGCACATGCACACAAACACACAAACAAACTTAATATTATTTAACTATCTTGTCACACCAGTTTGGTGATTTTTTTATATTCAGCTAGTAAATTAAAACTATGAATACATAGTCGTAACATTTAAAAGTCTTTAATATATTAATATAATCATTACAATTTGTATTACATTTGTTTTACTTCGTATAAATAAAGGTGAGAGGTGCAATGCAAGGTGCCCACTACAATTCACAACTTGGTTGAAAGAGAGACACACACAACACAAAGTGAGTTAACATTTTGGTCAAAACAGGAAATGTTACTAACAAAGTTATTTCTGGTAACTCAATTTAAACTGTTTCTGACAATGTGGTCATGTGTAACAGAGTTCAAATTTGACAATTTGATTATTACAACAGGTTACAGATAAAAGGAGGAGTAATCAGATCGCAGCTGCATTGAAGACAATTATCATTAAGATTATTGACAAGATGACAAGCTGATAAACTACACTGTAAAGTGCAAGTTAAGCCTTTCATCTGTAAACATATGTGTAAAGTCTGAAAAACAAACTTAACAAAGTAATGTTTCATCTTTATGGCTTAATCATATTCTAGCTAGAGACCCAAGCTCATGATGAGATCTATTCATTCGGGTAACGAATAAAACAAAGTAGTTTCTGTAGTGAAAGGGGCAGTGTTTAGGATTTGGCGGCATCCAGTGTTGCAGTTGCAGATTACTACAGGTTGTTCCTGTTATTGTGTGGTGACACCTTAATGTTTGCATTGCTGCAAAAGACCAAACACTTACAATGTATGGGTCGATTGCCTTCAAATTGACCAAGCACTTTCATGCACCACAGTGAAACCTTTTATTTTTGGAAAACTGCTGATCTTTTCTAGTGTTATTTAGGACTTTTGGTACTTTTCACATTTTTCCCTTCTGAGTGATTCAATACCATTCATTCTCTCCTATTTGATTTTATTATACCGTTTGTAAAGCATGGACAGGGATAATTATTGGAAAAGGGAAGGAGATGCACCAAAGGTCTTTGGGAATATTCAACCCATTACATCACAAAGGAGATCTGTTTTCTCACAGATCCATCTTTAGGATTCACAGCAATGCTTAACTGTTTGTAGTCATCCATTTTCTATTGTGGGGGCAACTGTCTTTTTACAGCAGGCTGGTATGTAGGTACAACCCTTGAGGATTCTATCTATGCGTATGCAGAAGACTTTGACTCAATCAAAAGTCCATTAAATTCCTCTTAATTATGTAATCATTTCAGTTCCAAAAACAGGGCTGTATTGTTCAGGTAATGCCAATCTATCAATGTCCCTGATCATTGAATGTTTATTGAAGTCTTAGAATGTAATACAAATAATATAAACATACCTTTGTTTTTTATCTCCAACAACAACATTTGGAAATATCTCATTTGTGTGTGTACGCCTCTGTTGGTATTCAGTCAGAAATAATGTGGTTCCAGTCAAGCTACCTTTCCATTTTGCATTATGAACCAACCACATTGTTACTGAAGTAACAACAACAAAGCCTTCAAATACACTGAGTCTGAAATATAAGAATGATATTTGCACCCTTACAAGAACATTGGCTAAGCAACAGTGCACACAGACATGTTTGCATAGCTGCTTTCATACGCACTTAACTGACACAGGAAATGTGAAGAATATGATATTGGTATGGTATATGAAACATTATATAATAAGTTAGGTTTTAATGTTTCAGTGAAAAGATCAAAAAGGGATAGAAGATTTTCTTTCTGACGCACAACCACACAAATAAAGCCATAGCAAAGCCACATTACATACAGCAATTGTAAAACCATTTAATATGTGATGTTATCATTTTAATCTTCCTGTTCTCTTAAGAATACAACTAGTACATATTTACATTTGTATATTGTAACTAGTAGGTATGTTTTCCCCTTGTAAAGTGATAATGCATTTACCCTGTATTTGTGCCATGTGACACCTGCCAGTATACTGATATTGAACAACTCTGTTAAACACCAAATTATATTCAAGGGCAGCCTTGTATTTTTATGTTTACAATTTGTTGGCTAAAGTGTGTTTTTGGCACAGTACCTCCACCTTCTGGACTAAAAAAGAACTAACCTTGGTTTGCATGTAGCTTTGGAAAACCAAGACTGATTAAGTAAAAGTGGCTAACAAAGACGCATCATCTATGTATTTATGAAAGTGCTGCATCTGGATTCAAACCAGGTCTTGGTTTAAAATAAGGGAAATATACTTATTTATAATGGAAGCCAACAGTACGTTTTTGCTTTGTGGACATTAATTGCAGTCCCTTGAAGTACATTTGAACAAACACTCATTACACAGGCTGAATGGAAATCAAATGAAACTTCATAAATGGTTCCTTCTCCTGGAAGCTTAAAATTAGGATCTGGTGACTACTGTTGTATCAAAACCATTTTACTAAATACAAATGTATGAATTAACTATATAAAGCCAAGTAAAGACCATGTGATTCCATGTCTTTATTTACTTTTATTATAATCAATCTGAAAGAATAAACCGCACATTAAAGCCAGAGAAACAATTTGTATGAATTCCAAGTAATTCAGCAAACAGAACAGAATGAACACATTTAAACAATGTATAACGCTAGCTGTTACAATTTGACAAAGCTGATCTCAGAGCCGCCCACCCTCATCAAATCATTCAAGAAATCTATTTCTCACAGATGCAGTTATTTAAGAGATATGGTAGTTTTTGTTTCCATTGTCCATGTTGATTGCAGTATGCTGAAGTGTTCTGGATTGAGACATGGTTTGGCGTTCCTGATTCCCAGAACCTGTAGGACAATATAATAGGTCTACAACTTCAAATTATTTATGAATTTGAAAACAACTGTCGATTTTGACTCAAATATTATCTCTAACAAATTAAATCATTTGAGTTAAATAAGGAAAAGGAATTCAAAAACAGAGATGGATGCAGTTATTTTTGTTTTCTTTAAACCCTTGTTTATATAATGCCTTGTGTGTCCCAGGTGCAGCATACTGTATGTGAATGGCATCAGCTTACAGTAAGTTAACATGGACCCAGGTTTTTACCTGGGAATGCAATCCTGTGGAAACAGGCTAAAACAGTGTTTCAGACAGAAGGTCAATACCGGCAGGCTAAATGCTCTGTGAAGATTAAAGCCGGTTTTTATATAAGAAGACCAGATAATTAGCATAATAATTGACATTTGAAACAAATTTAGTTCTGGGACAAAGGATTGTTGATTTAATTATGATTTAAAGAGAAAAACCCTGTCTCACATTTCTGTCAGCAGTGATCCGTCGACCCATTCCCATTCGTACACCCATCCATTTGGTGTAGATTTTCCCTTTGTGGCCTGTAGACCAATCCAGGCCTCTCCTTGTGAATTAAATTCATTGACAAACTTCTATATGTGGAATGGAGACAATAATCAGCCATGACAAACAGAAAGGGATCCACTTGTACACCACACACACTGAGTAGTTGACACAACTACTAGATAGTATGCGCCTAATGGAGGAAGGTGAAGAAACTATTATTAGGGTCTGAGACCAGAGGTTGGCGAAGACCCTATTGCTGCGCGAGCAATAAACCTGCGAAACACACACAAAATAGGGAAAACGATCGGCAGAAGCACAGAAAAGGGTCGGAAATCATGACGGCAGATAGACCGCGTGAGCCCATGATTGATATCGGTAGGGTCAATTCCCGAAGCGATCGATAACCATACAAAACCCACACAAAACAGGGGAAACGACGGGCAAAAGCCCATCAAAAGTAGCCTAAATCATGACAGTACGTAGCCCACGCGAACCTAGTGACATCACTAGCCTCGCACATTATTGATAATGGCTCTGTCAATTATGAGGTGTCCTCATATGCCGTTGCCATGGCAACGCATCCCTCGCTAAAAATCACGATGTTGTCGTAACTCCTATAAAAATGGTCGAAACAGCACCAGACTTCAGATGACAGTTAATGGTCCGGCCCTCAACACCTCAATATGACAATAGTGAGTTTTCCTCAAAAGCTGTTGCCATGGCAACGCATCCCTCACCGTGTAGCACGATATTGCTATAACTCCAGTGTAAATGGTGAAAAAGTGTTAAATAAACACAATGTTTGTGATACTGCTGTAACTCCTATGTACGTTGTCCGATCGGCCTGAAGCTTCCCACGTTTGCCAACGGCTGAGTCCTCGAGACACCTACGCGACACGTCGACGTGCGGACAACAGCCTGCGGAGCATCGAAGACCCGCCCAACTCTGCTTGCAGATTTAATTATTATTATTATTATTATCTGTTCAGCGAAAAAGAATGCAGTAGGAAAAACGCGTGAAGTGATCACAAGAATGTTAGCATTTTAACTTAAAATAATGCATTTTATGAAATGACACAATTGTTTTAATTTAATTTAATTATATATATTATACATGCTAAAATAAGATGAGATTAACCTTGTGTTAGTCATCTGAGTATCAGCAATAAGAATAAACATAACAAATTATAAAATATATATATATATAATAATAATGTTCAAAACAGAGTGGACCTAAAAGCTTATACATTGAGTCAAAGTTAGGAACAGGTGCTAATGAGAATCAATTGGCTAACAAGATGTGATCTGAGGACAGAACAAACAAGACAAGAAGTTGGTCAGTAGATAACCGATCTCAGGACGTCACATCTACATAACTCAATCTGAAACAGACCCACCTGTTCCTCTTTGTTGTTGATGACCACCAGATCTGCTCCTCTCTGCTCACAGTCAGATCTGCTATCATACCATGTTTTCCGCTTATCGGATTTAAAGTAGCAACTGCATCCAAATCTCTTCCATCCTCCAGGACACAGCTTCCCTTCAAACACGTGTTTCAAAGATAGATTTCATATCATTTAATTTAAAAGACAGATCTTTGTTGCCATCCTCTTTCTCCAAAACTGACTGAAATATAGGAGAAGGTTTCCAGAGAGATGTGGGTGTTTCCACACCACAAGGATAGGGATAGAAACAATAATATAGATGAATTTAAAAATAACATTAAAATTAAAAAAATATCAGAACGATAAAAGACAGATTAGACACAAAACGAAGAATGTATATTTTTCACCATAAGCAGTATTGCCTTCTCACTCTATGGCTGTTTGAGGACCATCATACTCTGGTGGTTTTCAATTGTGAAAACGACAGTAGCAGAAATGGATCACAAAAAGCTAAGCGCCGATGCTAGTCCGTTAAACAATAGCGGTTAGAGTGGTAGTATTTCTTCAAGATATCCTTGTCAAAGAAGAAACGAGTGTTGTGTATTATCTTATGGATAAGGCAATAATTCCAGTCATCATCAGGATGCACAATGGAAAGTATTGTATTAAAGCTTAATAAAGTGCTATCCTTTCAAGTGTTTTAAATCCTTATGTATGAGAAGAACATTTGGTCTGTGTTCACGGGGGGGAGATGAACGTTTTTATGATACTAAGGAAAGAGAGGGACAATGTGGCTGTTGCCAAAGCACAAAGAACAGCAATAGGGATATCTGAAAATAACATACAAATAAACCTATGAAAGAGTAATAAGTAGACCCTCCAGAAAAACGCGATTCTGCGATCGCAGAATTTACTGCATAATCAGCAAAATGGCGTAGATTTTTAAAAAGCCGCATATTTATCAAAAGGCCGCATAATCCCCGCATTTTTCCACACAAAGTTGAGAAGAAAAAAAAGTTAACTCGTCTTGACGTGACGTCATCAGCTCGCGCATCACAGAATGTAAACAACACTGTATAGAGCTCATTTACCAACGAACATTTCTACTAAAGACCGGGCAAAAAGTGGGGGGAAACTATTCTGCACCCCGTGCAACTGTGTGTTGGAGCATAAGAGAAAATCGACGGTGGCGACCCACTTTGATTCATTCAAACATTCGAAAATGCTTTCTGCTGCTGCGGACAAGAAAGCCATTCAACTCGCGTTCACCGAGGCATCAACCTCCAAAACCCTTTCGAGGGCTACAAGAAACGAAGTGAGTAGCCTACAAGATTGAAGCTGGTCAGATAACGAACGAGTAAATGAAAACAGAATGAGGCGGAGAAGTGTGTGTGTGTGTGTGTGATTAAAATAGCCCAATTGCTTTTACAATAAATAAACATTGAATGTGTTTAATTGAATAGTAAAGGGGTTTAACGTTAGTGGCAGGTTGTGTGTGAGAGAGAATAAATAAGACAGCCCAATATTTAAAAAAATTGTTATTCTTTTCCCCCGCCTATTTAGCATATTTCGCAACTTCACCGCATAAAATCACATAAAACCCCGCATGTTTAATCGCATAATCAAGGATTTTAGCCCGCGTTAAAGACAGAACTAACTTAAATCCTGGATCCTGCACATTATTCAATATCACCCTTAACTTTGATCATGTTTATTAATGTGTTAAATTGTGTGTGTTATTGTATCTTGAAAAAGATCTTACCTGAAACGAGCTGGCTGTTGTTGTTCAGTTTGTTGTACCTGGTCTGCAGCTCGTTCTTTTCTAAAGTGACTGAAATATGAGCTTTTCTTTATTTCTAGAGTGAAGGTATGGGTGTCGCTGCAGCACAAATATAGAAACAGCAAAATAGAGGAATGTAAAAATAACAACAACAACAAAAAAATTGAAATTATACAAGAGCAATAAAAAACAAAACATATCGGATTAAAACTCAACAAAATAAGAAACAGATCGACAAATCGTCAATCACTTCAATTTTAAGACGTGAAGTGAATTCCTGGAACCTGCACATTATTAAACATCCTTCAAACTATTTCAAACAGGAATTACATTATCTGCTAACAAGTTGAAAATGGATTCACTCGCTGAATATCAATTGTGAGCAAGTACCAAAAAGAGTTAAACAACATTTAGATATTGTCAACCTTAACTGTGAACGGTTACATTGATGCAAATTGTTCACATAAATACGTTTGACCCAACTCCCCTCCCGTAATTCCAAGGACGTTTACCCTGTATTACATGGCAGTGAAAAGCCAGAGAAAGGAGGAACTGGCACAAGCTACCTGTATCACTTTGACTGGAGTCCAGTGGACAGATAATGTCCTGTGTAGCTGAATTAATACAGAGGGGAATCACATGGGCTCTCTATGACTATAAAAATACAAATAAAAAAACGCTTTCTTACAGTGAATGCTTAAGGCAATGATTGCAGTTATCATCAGGATGCACAGCACTCCTAGACAGAGAGCAGCAGGTCTGTAAGTCCTCCTCTGGGCGTCTGCAGGGGGCCTCTCAGAGCGGGGTCCTGAAGCACAGAGCACACAGAGAACAGATCCATTCAAGTGAAAGAACACATTGTTTCTATCATATCCCACAGTCACACTTAACGTTTCACTGCTTTGATCTGTGGTTTAGTGGCATCTGACATACCGTACATATTTTAAACATACATTTGAAACGCTGTTATGTTACCTAATTAAGATATTGGTATACAACAAATATGAACTCTTGTGATGGATAATAAACCATTGATTGCACAACTGACCTAAAACCAAAAGCTGTGTAATAGTGACTTTGTATTACATCCTAAAGTCTCCATCTCCCTTGGCTCAGTTTTGCAAGTTATATTTTGAACACCATGCTGCACCTCTCTTCTTCCTGTCACATGGTGTCTCTTTACACTCCGTGTTAAAGATGTCTTTAGTGGGAATTATTCTTGATTGTTTTTTAAAGAAATATGCTTGTTCTGATAAACTGTATTTCTGCATGTTCTCACTTCACAAGAGCTAGTTCAGATCACACACATACACATTCACTTGTTCACATTCATAGATTACAATTTTGAAATATGAACTACTGTAAGTTCACTATTCTAAAACAGTTATTAGGTCATGTTCATTTCTTCAGCTTCTTCTTCAAAGTTGGTTTGATGACATAGTGTTGAATTCATATTTCATATAAACATTCAGTTTATACTTGCAAGAACCGTCAACCAAAAAGTTATGTTACTTCATTTATATTTATTTATATTTTAGCCATATGGATTGTTAATTTGCTTCCACTTGTATATATAGGCATACTTACTAAATGAGCATTATTGAATGGAGCCAGGGATTCAAGATTTTCATTGACAACAAGTGCTTTATTGTAAGTGTTGTATGAGCCAAGGTGTTTGATACAAGAACACACAACAGTACAGTATATCCGTGCAGAGAAAAAACATCCTTGTAAGGAACTATTTCTTCTCTTTGAGTGCAGCAGGGCTGTAGGTGTGAAAAGTCATGCTCAAACAGTCGCTTCCTGCTCTTCAAGTTCAATTTGTAGAAGAGGGAATAGAAAGATGTACATTGTCCTATTACTTATATTGAAGTATTGTAGTATATTGGTACAAACAGATACACTCAGTTTCCCAAAACATAGGACGTTCATACACAACACTTGAAATGGAATCATGGCTAAAACAATGATATATTGGATTCAGGTTATGTAGAGAAATGTGGCCGTTTGAACCAGTATAGGAAGTGTCAGAGGTGGGAGTAAGTCCTACATGTGCAAGTCATGAGCAAGTCTCAAGTCTTGACCTACAAATATCAAGCAAGTCCCAAGTCACTGTGGTGAGAGTCAAGCAAGTCAAGTCATTGCTCAGGTCAAGCAAGTCAAGTCATACGACATTCTGATTAATAGAACCCAGTTTCCTCATTTAAATCAGTTAAAAGACAGTGGTTATGAAAATGGATTCAACCCACACTATGATCTTCATTACATACACAGTTAATCATTTGAAATCTAATTTAGACCGATGACAATCATATTAGATTCATATTAACCCCAGAACTGCAGACAATATAGCTAGGACTCAAAAAGTCTGTTCAAAAAGGCAGAATTCCAGCTAAGAAAATCATATATGGCATTTGCCATTACACATATTTAATTTAAATGTCTGTTAACACAAGAACCGCCAACAGCGTCAGCACCTACATAGATATCATTTTCAAACCATTTAATTTGTTCCTCTTCATAATTTCCTTATAAACTAAGCAGGACGATTTAAAACTCAGTTAATTGGGTTAATTTAGAAATTGCTTCAGTTTATCATCATAACAGATCAAAAAGTTCAGATTCATTTTACAATAAATCAAGGAATGATGCACTTCTACAAACAAAAACAATATAATTAAAACATTTAAACAAACTACTAAAAGTAGATGAACTACATTATTCAAAAGTTTACAGTAACTTCTGATAATAACACAGGGGAAATAAACGAGGCATCCCTTTTCCTCTCTCTCCCTCTGCTGACAGCCCGTCAGTATCAGGGTTAGTCAAAATGAATCTCTTGGCGGTTCTAGTGTTAATTTACCGTTTTGTCTTCTCTTTGCAATGCTTAATCGATTTGAAACCAAGTCTAACGTAGCTTCGTCGTGTCACTAATCTGCTAATATGCTGCAGACCCTGCGTACCGCTGTTCTTTTCTTATTAGCGTCATCTAAAACATAATCCTTGAATCCAAACTTCACTATTTTTGGAGTAACGCTAGCCGCTGCCATGTTAACTGACACTCCAGCCTAGTCGGTTGCCAAGTTTGCGCGCACGGCGCTATAATCACCCAATCACATTTCAAAAAAACTAAACGTAATATCTCAATACAAAAACAAACGCAAATATTTAATTTTAAACAGTCAAGTCCTTTCAAGTCATCTGTCTCAAGCTTAA